ATGTCAGCATGTTTTTAGCTAATGTCAGCATGTTTTTAGCTAATGTCAGCAGTTTTTCAGCAAGTTCTTGAGCATTCACTCGGCCTTTTCGCAGGAAATGCAGTTCCTCTAGATGATGATGACTTGTTGACATGGCTCAGGTGTCAGAAGCAGAGCAGCAGCTTGCAGACACTTCCCCACTGCTTGTGTCTCTCATTTTATCCTCAGCTCCCTCTTCAGGTACTTGGGCCCACAGGTAACTCATCAAACGTGCTGGTCCACTGAGGCTGGTGGGGGAACATGCACCCAGAGACTGCATGTGTATTGTTTCACCTAATGCGCAGGAGGATATTGACATGGTAATTGTGTCGACTCCAGTCAAGCGCTGTGGCCCAGAGGGAACTGTCATTCATCCTTCCCTCCCTTTTTCAGTGTGGATCTTGTAAAGTGATTGGTTGGTTGCTCCGGACACGCTGAACACAGCCCCCAAATGTACAACGAATTGCAACCTGGTCTGCCTATGTTCCTGCCCCTCCCGGGACGGCAGTGTTTCAGTCCTGCCAGGGGAGAAGGTGGATCAGAGTGCGGAGAGCCTTGGAGAGAGAAGATGCAGAACAAGTAGCGATGAAAGAACGGATAAGTTGGTCCCTGTTGGTTTTCAAACAGGTCCCCACGCAAAGCCTCGTTTCTCTCCCCTCAAGTTCATTTTCATGTAAAAGAGCTGAAAATAGGCTTACAGGAAAACAAATCGTTTCAAGCTGCTGCTCTGTCACAATATAGTTAGAAAAATATATTTAAAAATATACAGCCGAGTAAAGAATCTTGAATGCTTGAAATTGCTATAAAAATAATAATTTCCTTTGTTCCACAGTGAGAAGCAAAAAGCTGAGAATAAGGACCGGAAAGTGTTGGAAATCCTTCAGTCCAAAGACTGCACGATACAGGAGCTTGAACAGGTACAGAACACACACCAACTCTAAAAACTCTAGAAAATTATTCGCACACATGAAATAAAACCACAACTTTGCATGTTATTTTAGAAGTGTTGCTTTTACGTGTTTGGATATGAAACTTTTGTTCTCGCTCAGTGAGCAGGTCCAGTGGAAAAGTTAAAAACGCCCAACATGATCTAAAGGAACGTTTCCCATGAACTCATTTCATGAGCAGTTTAAACTGTTGACCTTAATATCATGCATCCAGCATGTTTCCAAGCACGAACACAGGGAACGTTCAGCAGATTGTTGGAGCAGCTCAGCATGCTCTTCCTTTGTGACTTGCTGTGCACACGTTCTTTAGAGGCGAGGCTGCATGCTAACAGCACGCAGGACTCATGACGTCATGCAGGAGCTACACTGCTCATCATGAAGCCCATCGTGCTTCTATTATTATTTTTCTGCACATGAGGTTCCTTGTAGTAAAACTAACTTTAATCTTTTTGGCACGAACAATTAGCTTAGCAGAAGAAATCCGACTGTTACCGGCGCTCACATTCACTTAGCTCCTCTAAAAACACGTGCTCCTTATCCAACAACTTTCAGTCAGGTCATCTGGACGGTTTCTTTTTGTGCTGAAACGTTTCACCGTCCACTGGTTTGTTCCACTTTGGAGTAAGCTG